AAAATATAACTAATTACGGGAAAGGTATGTTAGTATTAGTGATTTAAGAAGAGGAAGGGAATTAGTAGTTGATATTATGTGGTAGAGGGAATTGAAGTCCGAGCAAAGTACCCTAAATGGTTCGTGCAAGGAATAATTCGATCTACAAAGCGGAAGGAAAAGAGGAATGAAGTTTCTAGTAGATCTAATAGGAATCGTAAAGTTTATGCGGCTCAACAAGTCAGGGCTATCTACATCACCCTTGATCAGGTTGTGCATAAAAATCACACCAAACATTTTTCTACGACTAACTAAGATTGGAAGGTTTATTAAAAGCAATCTACGAGGATAAGATGGCAGTCTCACACCTGCATCCCAGTTAAGGCCACGCAGAGCAAAAAGTAAAAAGTTTTTCTGGACTGATTCAATACGGTCCTGGTGTACTTTGTACTGGGGGCACCATACACAAGAGCCGTATTCTAAAATCGGACGAACAAGCGAGATATAGAGAGTCTTCGTTATATAGGGGTCGTCAAATTCCTTTGACCACCTCTTTATAAACCCAAGCACACCCATGGCTTTATTTACCATGGTAGAAATGTGTTCAGAAAACTTTAACTTTGGGTCTAATTTAACACCAAGATCATCAACCAAGGTAATTCTCTCAAGAGAACCACCGCAGAGGCTATAAGGAGCCAAAAGCGGGCTGGAGCGATGAAATGTCATTACTTTGCATTTCGAGGCATTTAGGTGTAACATATTTGCACAACACCATGACTGAAAGTTATTGAGATCGGATTGCAAGCGAGAGTGAAATGAAATGTCCTTATACTGGACACAAAGTTTAACATCAGGGAATGGTTTACAGAATCGAATGCTTTACTAAAATCAGTGTAAATGACATCCGTCTGCAAGTTACCTTGAAAGCCTTTAACGATAAAAGAGGTAAACTCTAATAAATTTGTGGTTGTTGATCGTCGCCTTATAAATCCGTGCTGGGACGGAGATATAAGTGATTTGCAGAGATGTTGCAAGTGCGGAGTTAAAATTTGTTCAAACATTTTAGGAATAGCGGATAACTTAGATATACCTCTATAATTATTTGCATCAGACTTGCTACCTTTTTTATGGAGCGGAATAATAAAAGATTCCTTCCAGATGGGGGGGAAGCATGAAAAGTTAATGCATAGGGTGAATAGTTTAAGCCAGGGTCCACACAGAGCGTCGGCACAGTACCTCAAAACACCGGCTTTACTAGTCGAAGACCATGAAGCAGTGAGCTTTCATTTAACAAAGGGCTGAAGATGCCATTCGACCTTGGTAAACTGTATGGATACGGCTGACCAGAGTAGCTTTCATGAGAATAGGTTGTTTGAAAAAATTTCGCAAAAAGATCGGCAATTGCCTGATCATTGTTTGCTGACATATTGAGAAAAGATAACGAGGATGGATGTGCGGACGTTCTACGCTTACTATTTACAAAGCTTTAAAACTGTTTAGGGTCCTGTGAAAATCGTATCCTGCATCGAGATAGGTAGTTTTTATAGCATTGAGCGTTAAGAACGGAGAAATTTGACCGAGCTATTACATAGTGAGAAAGAGAAGAGGGAGAACCAACTTCTCGAAATTTTTTATAAAGTCTTGATTTAAAATTTTTTAGACTGGATAACTCTTTGGTAAACCAAGGAGGCTTTCCAGATCTAACCGGACAAGAAAGTGGGACACAAGAATCAAAAAATGTGTCAAGTACATTGTAAAAAATGTTTGTGCCTTTCATTACGTCAGTGCACAAGTACAGAGCGGACCAATCAAAATCCCTAATAAGGTTATTAAGCTTCATAAACTCGGCTTTACGAAAGCAGCGGACACGTTCAGATAGTCTATCCATTCGATCCAATACAGTAGGGCCAATATCGACTGACACTTCGAATGTAGTATGGTAGGAGTCTTCAGGTATACTGAGCGGAAGGGCTCGGGTTAACAACGCTATGGTCGGATCCGAGACAAAGCACGGATCAAGCAATCGACCCAAGGAATTTTTCACATGGTTGACTTGAGACAGGGATAGGTCTAGCAAGCCGTCGATAAAGTCGTGTCGTGACATGGGCACAAGGTTATTAGACTCGTTTACCGAAGACCAAACAGTACCTGGCAAATTGAAATCACCAAGAACTATCATATGGTCTTTATTTGATAGCGAGAAAGAAACAGTTTTTAAAGCGGACAGTTGATGCTCGTATATTAAGATATCCGAGGAAGGTGGAATATACGAGAAAGTAATGAAAATGGAAAAGCCTGGGAGAATCAGTTTTACGCATAGGAATTCCAGGTCTTGTTGAACCTGGACCATGAAATGTTTCGACGTGAAGTTTGAGTCCACTGCAAGGAGGACCCCACCTCCACGTCGAGACGAACGGTCATTTCTAAAAATCATGTACCGACCTGCCAAAACTTCGGAACTAAGGATGTCCGGCTTTAACCAGGTCTCGGTAAACACAATAACATGGGACGAGAATGCGAAACTCTCAAGAAAAAGAGTGCCTAGCTTACTACGCAAGCCTCTAGCATTCTGGTAGGTAACTACAAGAGAGCAAGTTAGTTTTTTGGATGGGTGGAAGTAGAGGTGGAAGATGAGGATGGAGATGGAGCACTGGTCTGAATGCTAGGAAGAGTAATGGGGGGCCTATTTTTTTTCTTAGCCTTAAACTCTTTAACCACCAAATGCTCCGGCCAAAACTTGGCGGAACAAATGGTTTCAAATTGAGTTGGCGAGACGCTTATCTTGCAGGAAGATATCTCCCTGGCGTAAGAAAAGTTAAATTTTTCCACTTTTAAGCCGACGGCTTTTATTTTGCTTTGTATAAAAGCTGTAACATCATTGGATGTGAGGTCAGGGGCTAGCCGCGAGACAAAAACTTGTCGCTTTGGTGGGACTCCCACCAGTGGTTTTGGCACCACAGGCCTAGTACCTGTGATGGCAGTATCCGGTGGTCCTGGACATCTATTAGCTGGTGGGAGCGAAACTGAGGGGATAGTTAAGGGGTTGGGTGCAGACTAGATGGACACGGACTCTACAGACATTTCTAACTGCATACTCTCCGAAGTGAAGCATTCGGCTCCCGAATCTGCATCACCAGCAGCGATCGTTGCCCTTGGAGTAGCAAACGTAATCAACTGCTGCACTAAGGGAGTGGTCGGAGTAAGTTTTTCAGATGCCGGCGGACATGAGGCAGTCGGCACTACTCCCGCGGAGTAGACTTCTTGCGCATCGGAGACTCAGCCAGCATCTGTAAACTGCTGAACTGAGTGTTCATGGCCAAGAGCCGATCATACTGCTGTTTAAAGCCTACGATCAGCTCTTTGAAGCCACTCCGCTTTTGCCTCATGAACGAACGCATGTCTTTTTCCACAGCACGGCATTCCTCACAACTATAATGTAGGCCGTTGTTTTGGGAAATGGCGTCACGGCCCGAGATCCCTACACATTTTGCGTACACTACGCTTTCGCAAAGCCAGCAGGGGATATTGGGCTGGTCATGGGTGATCTGCTTCTTGCTGGTTTTTTTGGCACAGACGACAGAAAATTCCATATTTATGTCTTTTATTTTTTTTTACTTTGGGAAAAAAAAGTTCAAAACAAATAGCAATCAGACCACTGTGCAGAGCAAATGCTTAGAGCAATGCTTAAAGCGAAATCGGTAAAAGATGAGAGTGGTAACAGCAACAGCTTATAAGTGAGAGCGTTACTGCACAAAAAGTTACAAGAGCGAGAGCGAAAGAACAGTTATTGAGAGTTAGGTGATAGAGAGAGTGATAGACGGCAATAACTACGACAAAGAGCGGCTAAATGTAATGAGAGGGCGTACTTACGAAAAGCAACAGCACAAAAACACACGACTAACCGACGCGCAAAATTTATTAAATAAGTTGTGTTTTTACACAAAAATCAGGCATGCACCCGCGGTAAAAGTATGATTTTAATGTAAGTTAGTTAGAGTTAAATTATAGATAAAAACACCGGCTGTTTAAGTTAAACAAAAGGAAAATGCGGAGCGCAAAACAAAAACACGTCAGGTCACTACGAAAGAGAACGAACGAACGAGTAAACTGAACGAATCTTTGTGTGTTGATTATCTTGAGAGAATCACCCTGGAAGATGATCTTTGTGTTATCTCAGACCCCAAGTTTTCTAAACTCATTTCTACCATGGCACGCCATAGGCGTGCTTGGGTTGATAAAGATATGTTCAAAGGAATTTGATGGCGCCTATGTAACGAAGAATCTCTATATAATTGTTCGTCCGATTTTAGAATACGGCTCTTGTGTATGGTGCCCTCAATACAAAGTACTCCAGGACCGTATAGAATCAGTCCAGAAAAACATTTTACTTTTTCCTATGCGTGGCCTTAACTGGGATGCAGGTGTGAGACTGCCATCTTACCCTCGTAGATTGCCTTTAATAAACCTTCCAACCTTAGTCAGTCGTAGAAAAATGCTTGGGGTATATATAGCCCTGACTTGTTGAGCCGCATAAACTATTCGATTCCTATTAGATCTACCAGAATCTATGTTCCTTCCGTTTTGTAGGTCGAATTATTTTTAGCATAAGGCGTTTAGGGTCTTATGCTCGAATTATAATTCTCCCTACCATATTATACATATCTACTCTTAATTGCCTTACTCATATTAAATTATTGATACTATCATATCTTTCCCGTAATTAATATTATTATTTGTAATTTTGAATGCATGTTTAGATCTTGTGTTCAGTTCTAATTTTCCTCGAATATTAGTTTAAAATTTATCAGCGCCCCGAGATCGGTTGAGGGATGCGTTTCTGTCCGATCTAAACCAGGGCCTGGCACGGCCTATCTTATGGCTATAGGAAGAGGCGCTGCCACTCACGTACACCTGTATTATAGTGGTTGGTACCAATACAATGTTCCGTTTTGCCTGCATGTGAGTGTGTGCGTGCCTACCACTGGTCTAAGCCCATCAGATTCTTTAAACAAATATAGAACCACTGAGCCAAGCATTTATTTTTTCAGATTATCCAATTACACATTTTAACGATGTGCATATGTACATGTCCCAAATATGCAAAAACTGTACATGAAAAACAAATCTGATCTTGAACAAGAAAATGTTTCTCCTAAATTGAATACATATAATATGTTATCTTCATCGTATTTAATATTCATGGCATTTTTAATTTAAATAATCATTTTCAGATTTGATTTATTTTCTGTACCACATCTGAAGAGTCTTCATGCGTTTTACTTTTTTCTGCAACTGTAAGACACCGTACATCAGAGCCTCTGCGGTAGGCGGACAGCCTGGGACATAAATATCGACAGGTATTATTCGGTCGCAGCCTCGAACCACAGAGTACGAATAGTGATAATAACCGCCGCCGTTGGCACAGCTTCCCATAGAAATAACCCACCGTGGCTCAGGCATTTGATCATAGACTTTACGCAATGCCGGTGCCATTTTGTTGGTCAATGTACCAGCTACAATAATTACGTCTGCTTGGCGCGGTGATGCTCGAAATACCACTCCGTAACGATCCATATCATAGCGTGGTGCGGCGATGTGCATCATTTCTACAGCACAGCACGCTAAACCAAATGTCAATGGCCATATTGATCCTTTACGACCCCAATTTAACAGATCATCGAGTCTTGCTAATGACCACTCGGCCACAGAAGTTTGCTTAGTGCCAAACGGCGAGTAGCCTTTTTTTTCTAATGCTTGAGACGAGTCCACAACTGGCAGAGTTTGTTGTCGACGAACCAAAAAACCATTCAATTGAGGCACTACAGATAGCGCATTCGAATTGTGACATGCTATTTGCAGACACTTGGGTATGGTTTTGGATAAAATAGATGGACGTAACATTTTTGTTTACTACTAGTCCTGAAAACAAAGAATTTAAGTAGTGAATTTTAGAAAATGTATCGAAATACCTATTTATGTAATAAGTTTCAGAAACCAACTCGGGAGATGCAAGAAAATTGATGACAATTTAGTCCATTGAATATCGATACATTTTTTCAGAAGTATCGTAAATAAAAAAAGCTTATAACTTGGAACAATAGAAACGGAACTATCCTCGAATACTTACCAGCGTCTAATCTTTTTACTATACTATACTATACTATACTATACTATACTATACTATACTATACTATACTATACTATACTATACTATACTATACTATACTATACTATACTATACTATACTATACTATACTATACTATACTATACTATACTATACTATACTATATAAATACTATATTACATACAGGCAGGCTCCGGTTTACATGTTCAAATAAATTTCTGATTTAGGCATAGTATCCAGCACCGCGGAATCGAAAAATGCATGTCAAACTTAATATAAAAAAACCCGCGGCAGGAATTTTTCGTTTACTTCTTTTTCACGTGTGTATCCAACAGTTGCCTATCGGGACCGTGTGTAGACTGCGAGAACAGCTGATGCACAGCTCAGGAATATACATATGTTCTACTTTTATTTCTGAAGTGAAAAGTGAGAGTTGGAGGCAAAACTGTGCGCAAACACAAAAAGAGATATATGCAACTATATACATATGCCGCCACCAACACAATCACTTCATCGTCTGAGTGCATTTTTTTTCATTTTTAATTTTAATTTTTTAATTTTAATTTTTTAGTTGAATTGTCAGTTATAAGACACTGATTACAGAACAGCTGATTCATAAAACCTGTTTTAGTTATGTTCCACACCCGGAATATATAGCAAATTCCTGCCAGGAATTTATCGAGGTGCTGGAGACAAGCCTTTACATATCAGAACGGAAACTTATGCGCTCCCACATTCGGAAAACGAAAAAAATTCCGTTTTCAAATCGGCAACAAATTCCTCGCCGAATAAAACGGAGTGAACTGCTTTTTAGACAATAAAACGAAACTTATTTGCAAAATGAAATAAATAGATGACTCATAGATTCATTGACATGAATTTAATAAATAGCCTGTTTACACTACGGTTGAGAAATAGGCTGCTTACATTGGGGCTGCGTCATGGTTCTTTGCGTCATGCCGGTGACGCAGTTTTTTTTACATAGGTTAATCATAGGGCCCTGGTGGTGTCAAAAAATTGCGTCGGTCTCAGATTCATGTGCGTCTATTCGATATATTCGATTGCTTTTGCGCTTAACAGCACATTTTTGCACTTTTCTGCCTATCAGCGCAACCATCACCACTAAGAACAACAAAAACTTGTAGTTCAAAAATCAAATTTTGGCACTAAAAATTTATGGTTCTGCAAAAAGGTAAAACTATACATAAAATCATTAAATAAAATATTTGAAACTGATTGTATTATTATCATACGACATTTTTGTGACCCCTTGATGCCATTAAGACACTGCTGGAGACGAACTTCGATGGTTTTCATAACATAATGAAGAACTCCCACAAACTCTACTGAAATGAAGGTCTGAAACACCCAAATAAAATTCAAGACGCACGACTGCCAATGTAAACGCATTTTCTGCGTCTATTCCGATATCGATAGCAGACGTGCCCAGTGTAAAAAGGCTATAAATAGACGTTCAAACACACATTTTTAGACCAAATTTGGGATTTTTTTTTTATTAATTTTTAATTTTTGAGGAACCTATTTATAGAAAAGTAAAACCGTTTTCATAGAAACAATGCCACATTTAAAAAAACCGCATGCAATTTGGTGCACGCGTTGAGGAGAAATGAAATTAAAAAGGCGTTCACACGCTTTTGGACCAAATACATTTTTGAGCTTATAATTTATGTAGAATTTAAAAAAATGTACACTTTACATTTTTTTGCTTCATCTGCTATCTACATGTATCCGATGATCCTATTGGGCTTTGAGGTGGCTCAGAGGGGGCCTAGCTGAGGCCACCGGACGGGTCGCAGGTTGCGGATAGCGAACGGCCTACCATAGTGGGTAGGTCAGCTGCGAATAAGCGGGCATCCCAAAGAGTAGCAATTAAGTTGGCTCTGAGGGAGAGTACCGAAATAAGCAGTCCCGGACAGCCAGCGGGTGTTCGCGACGCAGCAACACTGACGATGCGCTTGTGGTGCCGCCTCTCATTAAGTAGCTCACACAATCCCATCCCTACACAATACCTACCCACATCCCAGCCCCAACACTCACCTCACACCGGGCCGGACTAAGGTGTCACTCGACCCGTGCCAAGAGTCAGCCTGGCTGGGGGCCCAGTAGAAAACTAGCCCAGTCGTGAACGGAGAGCTCAGGGACTTGGCAGCCCCCTGTCCTAATTTTTCCTATTCCCTACCCGGGTAACGCAGAGCTCTGCAGCTCGTGGGAACTATATGGAAAAATACGAAAATATAAACAACAACAAAAACAAAAACGAGAGAGGCACTCCCCAAATGCCTGCAGGGAGAAATCCCAAGCGGGAGAAGGCAGCGGCCCAAAGGCCTGGCCCGATCCGCTCAGACGCAGGAAAGACCTGCACGGTGAAGGACGCGGGTATGAATCCGGGTGGGTCCCATCCCAAACCTGGGATGGGTGGAAAGCCAACACCCAAAACTGATACCATGGTAGGGCAGCTAAGCAATATTGCGGCTGCTCAACCTTCCGGTGAAGCGGCGGGTGATGGCTTACCATCAACCAGTGTCCAAACCAGGAAATAGCTATGCCGGACAAAAGTCGGCAGAACGCCAGCCAGGAAGTCAGTCCAACAGCAGACTGGCTGAAAAAAGTGGAATGGGCCTCGGTGGTGTTGCCCAACTTCAGTGTGGAGCCACAGAAGGTGGCCGCACAACCGAAGAGGCAGCGCTCTCAAGAGACGCCCGGACCTGCCGCGAAGCGCTCCAGGGTGATACCAAACGTATCCTTCGCGCAGATTGCCAATGAGAGGACGCTGATAGGCGTTCTCGACAAAGGCAGCGCGGAGGGGAAAATACCCAGAAGCCAATAGAAGTGGGTGGAAGCGGCACTGGCCGACCGCTGCTTCGAACTTCTCGAGAAGGATCCCGGGCCACCCCCAGTCTGCAAAGACATGGGATGGTTCCAGGGGAGCATTAAAGTGGTAGCCTGCAAAGATGAGCGCTCCGTGAAGCTATACAAAGCTGCGGTGGCGCAAATCGGAGAGGTCTACGCTGGGGCGAAGCTCGTCGCTGTGGACTGGAGCGAGGTGTCCAGCAGACCAAGGGCCCGTATATGGGTGCCGGCCACTTTTAAGGAGCCCGAGCGGATCCTCACGATGTTGCAGAGATGCAACCCTACACTGCCAACCTCAGACTGGAAGGTGGTCAAAGTGAAGGCATCAAAGGGCCCCACAAATCAGGCAGTGGTAGTCCTAAATAAGGAATCGCTAGCCCCGATCGAGGCAACTAAGGGAGAGCTCAACTTCGAGTTCAGTTCGGTGACCATGAAGGTCTACAAGTCGGATGCAGCGGCCGAGGCGCGTTCTGTCAACAACCCAGTTGAGCAGGACGTTGCCTCAGAGATCGAGGCACCCGAAGTAGACCCGGAGCCGGCCCTGGAGAGCTACTCCTCGGAGACGGAGCTGATGCTCGATTTTGAGGCGCTGTGTCGGGACGAGATCCTCAACGACTCTGACGCCGATATAACAGTGGTGGAGAATGACTCTAATGAAGTCTCTGAGGCTTCTGCAGATAAATCTCCACTATTAAAGAGCATCCGCTCCATAATATCTTAGCCAAGCGGGGGACATATCTAATCCAGAGCCCTGGGTGGTAGGAGGAGGGTCTGTGGTAGCGACGAGGACTACAAGCTGATTGTAGCCCAACAAAATTAAACCTATACTAGCAGAAAGCACCTAAATACTTTAGCTCCACAATTTTAGCAAGGGACAACAGGCGGCTAGCCTAGAGTACAGGACACGCCTGACCTGGTGTGTCCTACAGGCTCACGAGGAAGCGACCTCCCAGTGACCTCGTTCCATAGCCAGCGACAGTGAAGGTCGGATACAAGCCTATTAATAGGCTGCGATGCCAACGTCACCACACCCATGGGGGAGTCGATAAAGCGGGTGAGTCACTTTTCAGCTTCATCCTAACTCCAACCTAATTATTGGTAATGGTAATACCCACTTTTATCATAAAACCCAAGAGGTTATACCTCACTTATTGTCTCACAAACTGTCAACATAATGAAAAGGGGTCCTAAGACCATCCCTCCACCACAGGTACATCAGACAACCTATCGCTCGAAAGCACCTACCCACTAACTTATTAACCAGGAAAGCCAACTGGGATACATAAGCAAAAGTCCCCACGAAACGGCACTCCAAACGGTAGAGAAACCTACACGTCAAAGAATACTAACACTTTCCTAGACATTGAGGGAGCTTTTAACAACTCATACCAGGAGCCACACAGAGGCCCTGACTACCTGGAGTGACCATTTGGTGAGCAAGATCAATTGTTCACATAGGACAGTACACATCAATGGGATGTCCACTCAGTCAAGTATGTCAACAGAGGACCCCCAAGGGGTGTCTCCCTTTATGGAACATACAGCAACAAATTTGGTGACCTGGAGGGGGGGCTGAAGGTGGGCATACGCGGACGACGTTGCCATACTTCTCGGGAAATCCCTCAAACACTTGGACTAAGACCATACTCGCGCGACTGTAGATGGCAGTCGTGACTGGGAGTAACCCCTAAAACGGAACTTGTGTTGTTTACAACCAAATACAAAATCCCTCCCAACCCCCCAATACTAAACGGATGCAGGCCTCCTTAGCGACAGTGCCATTACTTAGGGTTGGTAATTGCAAAAGCTAGCTGGAATACACAAGAGAGTGAAGAAGGCTACGATAGCCCTCTACACTCAAGGGCCATGGGCTAAAATGGGGATGAACCCAAGAATAGTCCAATGGATTTACCTCAATATAAGACCAATACGCTCTACGGAGTCGCAGTGGGTGGCCTGCCCATCGAAGGGGAACATCACTAAACAACTGGAGGTGCAGCGTACGCAGCCCTATCATCAGTGGAGTCGAGCACAACACCAACGGATGCGCTAAGGATACCCAGGTGACCTGGTAG